AAGCAGGGGATGCTTTAGGGCGGGGCTACACAGTGATTGACAGGTCTACCAGAGACGTATACGTCACCACTTCCTATATACAATCTATGGTCTTATTCGGAAAAAGACAACATTCCTACTAAGCTGTGTATGAGGTAAATGAAAATGAATATTCCACCAACAGTCCAGTTGACATGCAGCCTCCGTCTTCCATTCCTTCAACCAGCGTCTCGGAAAGGTCGGCGTTGTGATCTGTGTGCTTCTGGAGGTCAGTTGTCTTCTTGCCCGAGGACACGTTGACATGCTGGAGGAGCCGCGGATCGAACCGCCGATCTTCCGGTTGTAAAACAACCCGCTCTACGTCTGAGCCACAGAGTTTAGATTATCTTCAGCAAAACTTCAAAGAGAAGAAGAAGTAAAACAACAGAATGATGCCGAGTCAAATCAAAACCCTCGACAGCCTTTATTAAGAAACAAAGATTGCTGAGAGATTTGTTACGTTCTTACAAAACTAAACTGCTTCCTCAGTGACGTTTCACGCATTCTCTCTCACGCATTATAGTCGCAGTTTTAAATGTTGTGAATTTAACGAAGAAACGCAACAAAACTTCTGGGATTTAAAACATTTCCAACAGGGAATTTTAAAAGCTGCAATGTTTAAATTCTTCTCTCCAGTGGTGGTCACCTGGAACAACTTCCAAACATCTAAATGAAAAGCAGCAGAGAGACGGAGCAGGGCAGCCAGACTTTTATTGAACTGAGAAAAAAACGTTTTTTAAATTCCAGACTGTTTTCCAAACCTTAAAATCTTCAGTTGATTTGAAAAGTTTGGTTTTAAATATGAGTTGTATAAATAGTCTGTCAGTTTTAGAGCTTTTGCACAGTTTCAGTTCCAGGAGTCCAGCTTTCGGTGTCCGGTGTGAGTCATTCAGTCCTCTTGGCCCTAAAATCTAACATCACATCACTGAGGAGATTATAGCGATAAACGTCAAAAACATTGACGTGACGTGTAAAAGTTGTATGAAAACTTTCACGGTGAACAATTTCCAAACCATCCAGATTTAGAAACCAGATTCTGTTTCCATGCACTCTCCAGATGTTCCAGAAGTGTTCTCAGCTGAAGGTTTGTAGTTTCAGACACTTCCTGTGATGATGAACAGCTCTTTGTTTCCTCTCTGCTTCCTCTCTGGTCACAGTTTACTGCACATCTTTGTCAGGCATCTCTGTTTCAGGTCTGTGGAGGGAGGAGAGGAGGGTTACCAGCAGGTAACCGGAGACAGGCTCGTCTGTCAGCTGCGCTTTAATGAGGTCATCTTTGAAATACGTGGGACAAAGGTTTTATAGTAACCAAGAAGATCAGCAACCATCAAGGGTTACAAATCACGCTACCCACACTTTCAAGTCTGATAACACCTGCTGCAGGAGGACGCACCTGCAGAATCACTTGACTGGTCGAGGTGTTCAGGCTCTGTTAGCAGTTAACTGATGCTGAAGTGACTACAAACATGGAGGATCTAAACACACAGCCTTTGTTCCTCTGGTCAGCGGACGTGATAGAAGACAGAACACACAATGACCTCCAGTGTGAGGAGCTCCAATGTAAAGAGTTTGTCCTTTATTTTCTGATACAAGGAAACCTTTCTGTCCGTTAAACTGGTTAAACTGTGTTTAATCTGCGGCTCACATGTGTGCCGAACCCCCGAGGGTCCGGAACATCACCAAAGTAGTTTAGTTTCACATTTATTAGAACGGTTACACGTTTAAAGCTCCCGCCATGCGACTGCTTCACAACCTCAGCAGTCATGAACGTCCTTCAGGGAGTCATCAGCAAACAATCTATTGACGTTAGAATCTGACTTGCTTGAGATTTTACACAAAACAATCCTCGTGCAAAAACACACTTCTTCTCTGGTGTGAGTGTCTGTACGTTGTGCATCCTGAAGCAGATGAAGTGCTGCAACTCATTCGCTCGTAGCCTCGGACTTCTTTCAGCTTGATCTCACTCAATGCTGAATTTAAAATCAAAGCCTGGTAAAACCCGAGTCTAAAAATACACATCGAGGACTAATTGGAGGCGGAGGGAGGACCGACGTGACGCCGTGTGAGGCCTCTCTCTCTGGCCCGGCGGCGGGATCGGCTCTGGATGATCGGCGTGTCAGAAGCTGTGAGAGAAGCGTCTCTCCACGTGACCTCTTGAGCCCATTAGCTCGGAGGATTGGCGCTTCCTGCAGAGCTGTCACTCTAATGAGCTGCGATACCGGCTCCCGGTAACACGGCTGACACGTGCACATCAGTACAGGTGAAGCATGACGTGTGCGCCCCAATTATTTCTCATTCACAACTGTGTTTTAAAAACACACAACATGACTTCTACGTGCAAAAACTGTCGTCACTCCGAGTTATATTTTTAGAGCATGGAACAACACATTGGCCTGTGTTTGAACATCTCATGCATCACTTGCTCCTCAGGCATCTCACCTGAGGAGGTCAGGATCTCTGTCCCGTTAATGTGTCTGTTAGTTTGTAGAATATCTCTAAAAATCACACGTTTTTTTATGTTATCCTCTGATTTAAAGTGTCTGAATGCTTGATTCGGGCCAACCTCTGGATAGAGGTGTACCGACATGATATATGTTCTGACCTGACGCTCATTGATCTGTCTCCATGAAGCTAACAGTGTAAAGAGCCCGGCAGGTGACGAGGACTTCAGAGCCGCTAAGTTCGTCACCTGGAGCTGCTATCGATCGATCGGACCACTTACTTCTGGAGAAGGAGACTCTCCTGACCCGCCGACACACCTCAGACGTGTGCTGTTCATACCAGAGGTGGCTGTCGTCACAGTACCTGTGAGACAAGAAGATGCCTGTGAGCAGCTGACCTTCACACTAACACAACCGGGTTCATCATCAGCTGCTCAACACTAACTACAGTTATCGTCTCAACGTGATGAAGATAATCTGGTGATTCGTGGGTGAAAAGAAGTCACGGTTAAAGCTGGACATGGAAACATGAACCTTTAACATCAGAGAGCATAAAACACAATATTCTGTTTGTTTGTTTCTTCTTGATTCATTTAGTTTTTGTTTTGGATGATTTATTTCTAAGAATAACTTTAAATATGTGCAAATAACTTCTGGAAAACGATGATAAAAACATTTAGATAATTAAAACAAACGGTCTGCGGAGGAGTCATCTCGGCGTCGGCGCGTGAGAAACCTTTTCATGCGTGTCTTGTAGCCGGAGGGTCTGCAGAGGCACTGGGAGAAGAACTTGCAGAGCTCCAGGACGCAGGGCTGCAGCTTGTGAGCGCCGACGGTCGTCGCGCTGCCGCCGGAGAGCGAGACGTCGGTCAGCTCGGGCCTCCTCCACGGGCAACCTCTCAACAGACAGAGCGAGAGGTCAGAGGTCACGTCAGTCACCAGCTGTGAACAGCTCCTTTAAACCGAGCTCGTAAGAAAACCTGCCGCTTAATGACTTTGTCTGCTCTGCCAAAAAAAACAGAACTAGGAACTTAATTACAAAGAAAAGAGATGATCACACAGTCACATAAAATACTATGACATTATAACTAACCTCTGAAAGTGGTGATTTGGAGATTTTATGTGCAGAATAAATCATCCTCACACCCATCCTTCAAACTCTCTCGTGTTGGTTTTTTGCATAATGCCGTTTCAGTACTTAAATTCCCATTACAGGAATCAGTGGTGCCGATGCATTCTAATCATAATGAATGCATTGCAGGTACACAGGCTCCTAATTACCATAAAAATACATATTCAAATGCGAATGTTAATTAGATACTTCTCCACATTCTGCAGTTATTTGCTCATCGTGCAATCCAGAGCGATATGTAGAGCAGCAGCGTTTTACAACTCAGGCTTAAAAAAGGTTTGTAAGAAGTCCGTCTTCATCCTCGATGCCTCGTTTGTTGATTTCTTTCCACTAGTGTCGGCTCAGCTCAAGACGCAAAATTTAACATGAAAATTAAATTTACAAGTCAAATTTTTTGTCCCCGACAAGAAAGCACAGGTAGACCTCGTCTCCAGGACATATTGCATCATCGCAACACAACATAGAGGAAACAAAAAGGAGATTAAAGTGCAGCCTAAGCCCCGCCCCCTGCTGTTTCTCCATGGAGCCCACACTGTCACTAACTGCACTCCCTGACAGGTCTAGAGTATGTGTTTGAAGGATCGATGGAGGATGAAAACAGATTAAAAAGATAAAGATAGAAGCTAAAGTGTGACAGTGAACCACCACATCATGAAATGAAGGAACAACACTGTTCCTCTTTATTCACTGACACAATCATTAAACTACAGTCAGTATACCTTCAGTAGCTAGCGTAATAAAGTAGTGCTAACGCTAGTTAATGATGCTAACTTACTTTGCTAATGTTAGCTACACAAGTTTTTACGTAGAAACGTAACGTTTTGGAAACGTATATCTCTAACGAGTATCACTGTTACACAACGTTTAACCACGACAAGCTCCAAATCCACTAAAGCAGCCTGAACATGAAGAACATCTGGAGCCACTGACGTCTACGGAGCAGAGCCGGATGGTTGTAGCTGAACGATGCTACGCTGCGATTGGCCAGTCTGTGTACGAGGGGCGGGATTTAGCAGATGGTCAATTACCAGGTTTTGATTCCTACATAGCATTTGAAAATGTGGATTTCTTTTGAAAAGCTACTGCAGATCAAACTTTAGGGAATTACGCAGAAATGTAACGGATGAGTGCAAAGTACTCATAACCAACACAAAAATGTGAATCTGGACAACGTTAACTTTGAGATTTTTAGAATTTATTCACCACGTTCACCATCTTAATTTGAACATAATTTAAACACACAATATAGCTGAGGCTGCAGTTTTCCACCTGATGGTGGCTCTATTTGAAAAGTCTGCTGAGGATACATCCTCTGGGGAACATGAATGTCTGGACTTCAAATGTATTGCAATCCATCAAAATAGATATTTCAGTCTGGATCAACGCAGTGACTGACAACAGGTCTGTTATTCCAGAGACAACCAGCAACGCAACTCCACTTTAAGCATGAATATTTGTATATTTACATAGTAAATGTAATGACTTGCAGTCTGCAATAAACATTTTGGTCATATTTAACATTTGAAACTTCACAAAACATCACTGTACCTGCTTCTATTTACCTAACCAGCTGTTTTTTATGTATGTTTGTGTTATATATCTTATATAGGCTACACAGCTCATAAGGATACTTTTCTTTATACTTATATTATCCATTTAATTTTGATAGCGTTTTTCATATGCTGCGTTTCTCCTGCAGCCGTCTCCATTCTTTACAACACAAAAGCAGCAAAGCGTTGGCATGAGATGATCTGCAGTGGTCACACAGCCGACACACATCAGCCACAATGAGCCACAGCCTCTTATCACTGGTGTGTGTGTGTGTGTGTGTGTGATTTGTGTGATTTGTGTGTGTGTGTGTGTGTGTGTGTGTGACAGACACATTGACTTCCATGACAGGGCCACAGACGGTCATTTTCACTGCACACTAACGACTCTGTGACAAATGGCGCTCCAGCCTTCTGTTTGTTGCTAGGCAGAAGTCAGTGGGGGAGCAGCTTGTGCCCTTGCAGTGAGATGTTACTGCCACCTAGTGGTTCTGCTGGGAAATAATAACATGTAGTGTTTCCTCGGTGTTTACTGTCTGTTACATGATCTTAAACACATCATTCTGGTGACAATAAGAAATTAGAATAAAGACTTTTTGTTTATTTTAGAATAAAATGATAGTTCACTTGTTTTTCTGTTTTTCTTTTATGAGATTTGATTTGAGATCATTTTGATGTTTTTAAGACAACAGTGTAGCTGAAACTATCAGTTCTTATTTTCTATTGTTCTCTGCATGCTGCATGTTTTTTGAAGCAAAGCAAAATAAATTCACTTAAAATTGATATATCATTGAGTTCCCTTTATGAAAAATATTTAACTATCATATTACTTTTTCCATATGTGAATTATGATACGAGCATGTCCGAGAAACTGTAATAAATAAAATAAATAAATGTAATAAATTAACTGTAGGACATAAATGTGTGTTTTTATGTTGTCACTAATATCCTGTTGGTGTTTCTAACGTCCTTCGGTTCATAATGTTCTTTATTTTAAGTGTTATATAACATAATAACTCATTTAACTGTGAACCATGCAGCATGTATTGGATAATAAGCATGTATTGGTTGTTTGTTTTTAACCTCAGTTCCATTTTTTAACAAAAGGAGTCTCTTCTCCCTCCTAACTGATGGAGCAGCAGACGGACAGACGCTGAATATTTTGGACTTAATTTGCTTTTAACCTTTGCGGCTTAAAACCATCAAAGCTTTCACACAAAAGGGGGGGGGGGGGGGGGGGGG